CTACAGCCACCCCCCCCCCCGCTGTCAGAACAGTACCGGAAAACAGTGTCGGTCGGAATCAGGGACAAAATTCTTCACAATCAGGGTTTGCTCCCAGCTAGAAGCTCCGTTGTCAATAAAAAACGTCTCCTTGCAGTTTTTAGAAGAGCTCTGATGTTTCCCGCTGGTCGAATGAATTCGGTTTTGACAGCGGCCGTGATCGATCAGCTCGGTATCGGAGAATTGCACAACTTGCGGCGCGTCAGCAAGGAGTTCAGGTAGATGCTCCTTCGCGTAGCAAATTTCGTGTTTTTGATTCATCTTCCCACCGTTCATTGCATTGATAGGAAATTGGTGAACGAACGCGGACTGATGCCAAGAAAAGTAAACTTTGTGATGATTGATGCCCGTGTACCGGATGTGGATGAAATCGCGGCAGAGGATGAGAAGGTAAAGCTCGAGATTGATGCTTGGAAAATTGTTAATGGTCTATTTATACCTGTGCTAATGATTAATTATAGCAGTAACCGGTTTCTAGAGATACTAGCTTTATGAGTTTTCATGTTTTACGGATTAGCCATCTGGCGTTTTAGATTTGGTTGCACGATACGAAGATCCTGATTGTGGATCGTCAGCGGGACAGCTGCTATAGGGCGTCTAGCTTTCAAAATATGATTCGCATCAACAATGAAGAGGACAGGTCAGTTGAAACTTGAGAGAGAGAGAGAGAGGGAGAGAGAGAGAGAGGCATTTTGAACTTCTTCACCATTTTTAGGGCATACAATGTGCCATTCTGCAGTTTTATCGAGCTACTTCCGCAAATCCGCGCGATCGAAACGCTTGAGATGAACGTATCGACAGATTATGAGCTGGTAACCCTCCAGTTATCTAAATGCCGCCAAAAACGGCCATAACAAAATCAAACACGTGGATATTAATTTAGTTGGAAGGATTCGCGAGCAACCTGGGAATTGACATCAGAGCAATGCGAAGTGACGACCTATTTGAGGTGAGGTAAAGAGGAGAGATGGATGGCAGGAGAGAGAGAAAAAGGGAGGGAGAGGGAGCGCGTGAGAGAGTAAGAGAGAGCGAGAAATAGTGAGAGAGCGAGAGTAGAGAGAGAGCGAGAGAGAGAGAGAGCGAGAAATAGTGAGAGAGAGAGAGTAGAGAAAGAGAGAGAGAGCGAGAGAGTGAGGGAGTAAGAGAGATCCAGAGAGAGCGAGATAGTGAGAGAGGGAGAGAGCGAGCGAGAGAGTGAGAGAGAGTTAGCACAAGCACCGACGACATGATTTACAGAATTTATTCAGTCGTGAATAACATTTAGCTATCCCCGTTCTTCCAATCGCTGTCCGGGATCTACGATTTTTCGCTCCAGGCGACAGACAGCGGCGAATTATTGCGAAAAGTCTTTGCCAATTACGCAAAAGGTTTCCATGTGCTGATTGTCGCGGTGAGTGATTTCTTATCCTTGGTTTCTACGGATATTTACTGGCGAACCACCTGCCAAAAACGCTCGACTGTGCTTCTATGTGGGAAACGTGGTGCGGACCGTGGCACCCTGCACACCGCCCGGAACTTGCGTTTTGTGACAATGAATGGTGTATGCAGGCAATCTCGCGACTGGTAGAGGTTAGTTCACACCGGAAATGGCAAGGATTTTACTTGCTGGGGCTAGGAAGTCGCGTTTTGAACGGCTACTGGGTGTCCCAAAAAAAAAGCACCCCCGCTCAAGCGGTCCGGGGGAAACTCACTGTAAAGTGTTTTTACTCAACTTGGAGTTTCGATTCGGGACCAAGCGCATCTTGTGCAGAATTTTTGGGAAAATTGAAGTATACGGTCACCTAGCCAAACCCAACTTATTTATATATAGAAATGTTCAGCTCGAAGAGCTGGTTTAGGATCAGTTGAAAAAACTATTGGGAAACACTTCTGGAGCGAGATATAGGGGTCCAAATTTAGCTAGTTAGGTATACGGTCACCTATCCAAACAGGCATGTTTTATGCAAAGAAATGTGCAGCTCGTCGAGCCGAGCCGTTATCTGTTGAAAGAATCATTGGGAAAAATGTATAAATAAAGTTATGAAGGTTTTAAACTCAGTTTTCGGAAAGTTCCGGCTACGCGACACTCCTTTGTACGGAGCGGTGTAGTCTGTATTCGTACGTACCTCTGCAATAACACTTGTTGATAATTTTTAAGCGTTTTTAACGCTATTAATGTAAAATAACGGTAACGGTGAGGCTTTTCACATTGTCAGGCAAGGTGGGCCGTCGCTTCGGATGGCACGAAGCCTTATTTTTAGGTAAAGTTTGAGTGTATTAGAGCGAAATATCCAAAGGAAATGGGCGTTTTTTGGCCCTTTTGGTGTTCAAACTTTGGACGACTATATCTCGCTCCAGAAGCGTTTCCCAATAGTTTTTTCAACTGATCCTGAACCAGCTCGTCGAGCTGAACATTTCTATATATAAAAAGTCTGGGTTTGGCTAGGTGACCGTATACTTGAATTTAGCCGAATTTTTCGCTGATTCCGAATATGTTTTCCAAATTTGCTACGGACTTTTATTTAAAAAATCATTTTTGGTAACAATTAGGCCGAAAAATGCCAAAAATTCAGACGCTGGCCCACTATTCCTTGTTTGGGGCTATGGTTCCCAGCGGCCCTGAAGTACCCACTGACAGCACCCTTCCCATTTGGGACCATGGTGCATTGGCAAAGTACTCGCTTGCCAAACGCAGGGCGGCGGTTCGAACCCCCGCCCTGCATCATTTCTTTTGCTTTTTGCATAAAAATCTTATTTTTTTTATCTAAAATGCTTGTTTTGAGCTGTAGGATGCTTGTCGAGCCAACGCCTAGTCAATTTTGACGTTGAAATTAATGAAGAAAATCGAAAACTATAACGATACCTCCATTTTGGTGAAAACTAGGGTCATAATTGCCGTATAACTTTCAGAATAACGGTCCGTAGCAAATTTGGAAAACATATTCGGAATCAGCGAAAAATTCTGTACAAGATGCACTTGGTCCCGGATCGAAACTCCAAGTTGAGTAAAAACACTTTACAGTCAGATCAGGATGATTTTTACACGATTCGAAAGCCCGCGAAAAGGCGAGAAAACAAGCGGGCTTCGTTTTCTAAGACACAATCACATTCTCTCGATATTCAACGTTTTTCAAAAAAGACAGCTAGCTTTTCAATAAGAATTTCGTAATTAGCATGCGGATCTCGCGTAAAGCTGCCGTTTTCATGGTTTTTGGAGGTGAAATGCGCGAATAAAAATACCTAATAAAGGAAATCAACCCTCCTTGTTTTCTCGCCTTTTCGAGAACTTTCGATAGATACCTAAACAGTGAAAATCGGACACATCTGCGCGCCGCTATAGGGGGGTGCTTTATTTTGGGACACCCTGTAGGTTTTTATTTAAAAACCAAGCTCTATCATTTAGGTCGCTTGTTGCCTTACCCGTCCGTCACGCCCTGGGCTGATACACAGGATCCACGTTGACCTGGACATCGATAATTTTGACGCTGACAACGAGTTGGTTAGTGTCATCTGATGCAGGAGGGGGAGAGTGAGAGAGCGAGAGAGAGTGAAAGAGGGAGAGAGAGTGAGAGAGAGAGTGAAAGAGAGAGAGCGTGAAAGAGAGAGAGAGAGAGAGAGAGAGAGAGAGAGAGAGTGAGTGAAAGAGGGAGAGCGTGAAAGAGAGAGAGAGAGAGAAAGTGAAAGAGAGAGAGAGAGATCTTCCTGTTCAGGAGAATTTCAAGAAAGTTATCGAGAGTGGCGAAGATCGTCGCATGGAATACCTTGAGGAAACGGATCCAGATGCGGAACAGTGCCGAAAATGGATTGCGACTAGTGTTGAGGTAGATCATCTCGCGGCAAATACGGGAAAGTGCAACTTATGGCGCAACTATTGCTGCCCAGGTCTACAATATGATTTTAGGGTCGGCTCGATCATCCCGTCCATCGTTATCTTCGCCTTTCTACCACTAGCAAAGGCATGTTTCTGACGTGGAATGTTGTTTGGAATCTGGACAAATTGTCCTCAAAAAGGCCTTGGAAGGCTTTTAAGGGACTGAAAGGCGAGAGTTGATTGTCTCTCGACTAGGTCTAGACGGCTTTTTTCACAATGTCGAAAATCACAATGTCGAAATTTCATAGTCGAAATTTACATTGGCTAATCTTCCTGGTTAAAAACCCGAATCCAAAATTTCGGCATTATGATAGGGATTCGGTCCAGACAGTTACGCGACAACCCTAAGCACACGCCAAGCGTCATTGTTTGGTTTGAGGGACATTTCAGCAAAGACGAAAGATGCTTGTACTTTCGCTTTGCCGCCCAACGTCACTGTCTAGACCTAGTCGCGGCAAGGCGTTGATTCTCGCGTTTTCGGGTCCTTGGAAGGACTGACGGATTTTCCGGCTATCGATTCAAAAGCCTATGCTTTCAGATTTCCTCGTGGCTTTCGTATTCGATAAGATGGGGTTCGTGACTATCTGGATTTTCGACAAATAAGATGTTGGATTTTGATCAAGGTTAAGACAGACAGTTGTGACGAATAAAGATAATGTTAATCGAGAATTCTCAATCACTGACACTGCCCAAAAACGCTGACAGGGCAATTTCGGCGGGCCTCATTTGTACCGTAAAATTGATCGTGTCTGTAAAATGGAATTTTTTATTATTTTCCTAGTTTTTTAGTCGGGAGAACTCCAGATACTCCCCCCAGCCGGACCCCAACTTTTGTATCTCGGGTCCCTGTTCATCTACAGGTGTGTAAAGTATACCAAAATACTCCCCAGAGCAAGACGCGCATTTTGGTATACTTTACACATCTGTTGATGAACAGGGAGCCGAGATACAAAAGTTGAGGTCCGGCTGGGGGTATCTGGAGTCTTACCTTTTAGTCCTTTTCAGTAGTCAAAAACTTCTAAAAACACCATAAAAATTGTGGGACCGCTTTTGAATTTTTTTACTCAACGGTATTTATTGAAATGCGAATATGGCAAGAACGCTGAGGCTAGTAGGTGAGGAAATTGGGCTGATTGGCGGGCGCGTGATGCGGCGACTTTTCCTTGAAGACTTCATTGTTGTTCAGGCCGGCCAGAGTCTAAACCAGAAGCCGCATTTCTTGCTGTTGACACCGATTTTTACCTGGTAGTTCGGGTCGTTGGTGCCCATAATCTTCTGATTGTCTGCCGGTTTGCGAGGTGCGGCGAAGACGGGCTGCTTTTCCTTGAAGCAGTCGTCGTTGTTAAGGCCGGCCAGCGTCTGCAAGAGGGTCAGGGGATGGTCAGGTTTTGTGTTCCCTGTTTCACAAAGGTCAATTCAAAATTTACCTGATAGTTCTTGTCGTACGTGCCGACCATGCCGGCCCTGTCCGGTGGCCGAATGTTCGGGGTGAATGGTGGCGGCGGCTGGTTGGGCTTCTCCTTGAAGACGTCGTTGTTGTTCATCCCGGCCAACGTCTACAAGATAGATTGTAGAACGTCTTAAAGGCGAGAGATTGCCTGATAGTTGGGATCGTAGGTGCCGACGAACTGGGCCTTCTTTGGCGGTGGCGGAGGGGGCGGCTGTGAGCCGGGCTTCTCCTTGAACACGTCGGCATTGTTGAGGCCGGCGAGGGTCTGGTAGTTCGGATCCTTCGTCGCCACCATCACATTCTGCTTCGGGGCTCGGATTTGGAACTGAAGATGGAAAGATCATTTTTGGTAAGACCCCAGACAACCCCCCCCACCCCAGCCGACCACCACCACCTACCGTATCTCGGGCTAAATTGCGCTATATGGTCACTAAACGGATTTTGGATTTTTATATACCAAAATGCTCAGCAGTTCGAGCTGGTTCAGGATCAGTTGAAAAAACTATTGGGAAACACTTCTGGAGCGAGTTATAACGCTTCAAAGTTGGCGAGTGTCGTATATGGTCACTAAACGGATTTTCGATTTTTATATGTCAAAATGCTCAGCGGGCCGAGCTGATTCTAGAACCGTTGAAAAAACGTTTGGGAAATACTTCTGGAGCGAGATATACCACTACAAAGTTTGGCGTCACCCCGGCCCACTACACAACGTTGTCGCCCCGGCGAGTCAGTTTTCGGTGTTGCGAAAAATGGTTGAGTTCGAAATGGGTTTGGCATGAAATCACACCCGATCTGAGCCTAAAAATAAGGCTTCGTGCCACCGGGGGCCTAGTCGCTTCGGATGGGTGCGAGCTCGTACAGGGTTTCGAAATCGGGGCGCCAAGGCCGGCGCAGCGGCCGGGGGCGCCCCGATTTCGAAAGAGTGGAGCGGCAGCCCATCCGAAGCGACGGCCCACCTTGCCTGACAATGTATTTTTACCCTTGAAACGGCAATTTCTCCACCATTCCGTTTCTTTCCGATGTACAGTTGGCGTATTTTGGTGTACTACGTACTACTTCAGGGGCTGAATGGACGGTTTGTAAGCTAGATATCTCGCTCCAGAAGTGTTTCCCAATAGTTTTTTCAACTGATCCTGAACCAGCTCGAACTGCTGAGCATTTTGGTATATAAAAATCCAAAATCCGCTTAGTGACCATATAACGCAATTTTCCCGTATCTCGGCTCACTGTTCATCTAGGTGTATAAAGTATACCAAAACGTTCGTCTTGCACTGGCGAGTATTTTGGTATACTTTACACACCTGTAGATGAACAGGGAGCCGAGATACGGTAGGTGGTGAGCGGCTGGGGGGTATCTGGAGTTCAGCCGTTAAATTTTCTTCAGAAAAGCTGAAGCTCACGTTGGAATCCTTGGCATCCTTGATATCTGTGGCCTCTTTGCCACTCTTGCCATCCTTCGCTTCTTTGCCACTCTTTCCGCTCTTCCCATCCGGTCGTTTGGAGTGTTTCGACTTGCGATCGCGACCCGACGAGTGGGACTTGCGAGTGGAGATTCTCGACTTTTGGGAACGCTTCGTCTTCTTCTAAAACGTAAGCCATTAGTACTGATCTGTTAGCGGGGGAGGATTTTTGGCAGGGATAAACCAAATTTCCCCAGTAACGCTGGAACGCCGCTATAACATATTTTAAACGATTTGATATCATTTTCTATAGTTCTTAGATTAAAAAACCCCATAAAAAATCTTTAGTGTTGAGTAATATAAAAATACTTTTGTTGTTCCGATATTTAAATATTTTCGAGAACTTTCTATCACTCAAAAGCTACTAAAAAAAACCTATAAAAAGACATTAGGTATTATTAACAGGCAGGCGTCGGCAGAAAAATCAAAATTAGTTTTCTTCCTGAGATCAAAGCCCCCCCCCCGCTAACAGTCCAGTACCCAACGATTTTCATTTCAAGCCAACGAATAGCTATAGGCTTCACGCAAAAGCGCAAAACGTACAGACGAGGGATCGCTGCGGTCGGAGCTGACGGTGGTCTTCTTCTTCTTCCCGCATCCGGCGAGCAGCAGCGGCGGCAACACGGCCGTCAGCAGCCCAAAACCGAGTGTGAGGCCCGCCTGAAGAATATTGTCATGGCCTCGGCAGTACAAACGTGCGGATTTTGAGCTATCGAAACCATGCTACATTTTTTAATTTGAAATTCTGTTCGAAAATCTATGTGGTAAGAGTCTAGAAAACCCCCCCCCCCAGCCGGCACCAACTTTTGTATCTCGGCCCCCCTTTGTGCTAGCGAGCTCTAAAGTATACCAAAATGTTTGCCGTAGGCTAATTAGTAAGACTACATTGCAGTTCAGTCGAAAAAAGTGGTGAAAAATAAAAATAGGGAAGGTAGAAAAGTTGAAAAGTCGGCTGGGGGGGGTTTCCTAGACTTGAGCCATCTATGTTTTTTTTTTGTTTTTTTAAGAGAAGTCAGCGCTGATTTTGGGAAAATTGAAGTATACGGTCACCTAGCCAAACCCAACTTATTTATATATAGAAATGTTCAGCTTGATGAGCTGGGTCAGGATCAGTTGAAAAAACTATTGGGAAACACTTCTGGAGCGAGATATAGGGGTCCAAATTTAGCTAGTTAGGTATACGGTCACCTATCCAAACAGGCATGTTTTATGCATAGAAATGTGCAGCTCGTCGAGCAGAGCCGATATCTGTTCAAATAATCATTGGGAAAAATGTATAAAGAAAGTTATGAAGGTTTGAAACTCAGTTTTCGGAAAGTTCTGGCTACGTGACACTCCTTTGTACGGAGCGGTGTAGTCAGTATTCGTACGTACCTCCTCAATAACAATTGTTTGTAATTTTTAAGCGTTTTTTAACGATATTAATTTAAAATAGAGGTCCCGGTGAGGCTTTTCACATTGTCAGGCAAGGTGGGCCGTCGCTTCGGATGGGCTGCCGCTCCACTCTTCCGAAATGGGGGCGCCCCCGGCCGCTTCGCCGGCCTTGGCGCCCCCATTTCGAAGCCCTGTACGAGCTCGCGCCCATCCGAAGCGACTAGGCCCCGGGTGGCACGAAGCCTTATTTTTAGGTAAAGTTTGAGTGTATTAGAGCGAAATATCCAAAGGAAATGGGCGTTTTTTGGCCCTTTTTGGTGTTCAAACTTTGGACGCCTATATCTCGCTCCAGAAGTGTTTCCCAATAGTTTTTTCAACTGATCCTGAACCAGCTCGTCGAGCTGAACATTTCTATTTATAAAAAGTTTGGGTTTGGCTAGGTGACCGTATACTTGAATTTAGCCCTGATTTTAAGCTAAAATTGTTTTGTTTTTATGTTTGGAAGCAGTAAGAACAGCTTAGAACGAGTATTAGGTTTAGTTCTGTTGGTATTAGTAAATCTAGATATCAAGGAAAAAAGCGCGTTAAAATGAAACCCACTTGAAAATAACTGTCGAATATATCTAGCATTTCTGTAGCAAACGCGCGCGCGCCTCAGCGCTAGGGTAGTAGAAAATGGGCGTGGGCTCTTCGGCTCCATGCGTTTTACCGCTTACCGGATATTGAACGGTCAATTATGCAAATTTGCAGCTATTTGGGCGCGGTCAGAGCCGGTAGTTTTTCGAGTTTTTCTCAAATATTTGACGTTTTTGACAACGAAATGAATTTGCCACAACACTTTTAGGCTTTCCCTTTCGTTTTTCGACAAAAGCTCCGATACTTCGACAAAATATTTTTTCTTAGTAACCAATTTTTAAATACAAATAGCGTACGTATTTCTAAACTGTTATTTACTATTCCTAAACGTAGAAACGTCACAAATTTTTGTTCAAAAATACAAAAAAATGTAGAGTTTTCGACCAAAAAGTGCGGTTTTTATCAAAGTTTGTCAATGGAGAATTTGGCGAGGTTGACCGCTTTTTTTGACGAATTCACGCCCAAATTCTAGGTTTGGAAAGGCCAACTGAACCGATTGGATTTAGCCAACTAAAATTGGATTTTCTCGGCGGGCATACGATGGAATTTTTTCTGAAAACTAGGTTTGGTAGCGCGCCAACTAGTCTATATCCCCTGAAAAAATCAGCCCGAAACTCCTTTTGGTACAAAAGTTATGGGCGAAAAACCGAGTTGTCCATTTAACGTCGTACGGGCGCCCGTTATGGCTGTATATACGGCAACCCGTATTTAACGCCCTTTCACGCCCTTTCGCGCCCTCCTGTATTTAACGCCCCCTGTATTTAACGCCCCCTGTATTTAACGCCCTCCTGTATTTAACGCCCCTCTTCAGTCACGGCGCTTGTAAATAACGCCCTCCTGTAAATAACGCCCTCCTGTAGTTCACGCCCTGCTAGCTAGGTTTACTATAGAGTGCTTTAATGGCTTAAAAGCGTAGCTTAAATAAGTTTAAAGTTAAAATACGTAAGGAAATTGTATAGAGTACACTAATAAGGCTGTCAGGAAAACAAGCATAATTTTTTCGCGTATGGGATAGGGAGCTTAACGCTTTATCGTACTGCGTCCAATAAGAAAATCAAAATCATACCTACACGTCTAAAGACTTTGGAGTCTAAAGAAAGGCCCTTAATGATTTATAAAGCATATCGAGTTGATTGCCTAGGCCTGAAAAGTCATGGGATCTCAATCAAATTATTCAGTAAACAAAAAGTAAGGTATTAACAAGCACGGGCTGGGGAGGAGAGTAGAAGTTCCGATGCATGTGGGTGAGCTAAACTTGACATCGCCCGTCTTCTGATTTTTTAGGGCAAAATGAAGCTAATAGTAAGAAAAGCGCAACTTGGGCTTAAAGGGCTGCCGACGGCATGTGTCGATCCCCCCCATCAACAAATTGGCAAGTAGCCAACAGGGCAGAGAGCGCGCCCAGGGGGGAGGCGCAGAGACATTTTCTTTCCCGTGCGTGATCGATTGCATTATGCCGCCCCTATCCCTTTAAGCTCTGAAGTTTTATTACTCCTTGTAAGTAGACACACGGTGTTGTGCTATCGAAAATTTGTAATTCACTTGTGGATTAGTTAGGAGCCTAACATACTGATGATGCTCTCGTTATACCTCCGGAAAATTTTCTACGGTATCCTGCATCAATATTCTGAAACCAGTTCGAGGCTAAATTCGATTTCATGACCGCGTTGCGGCAATATTAATTCAAATCCTTATCAGATGTGGCGAAACGCAGAACTTAATTCGGCAATTACTGAAATACTGCAACAAAGTAAATTTAATGGTTAACATGGTATTCCCAAGGCTGCTTCATAATGGATCAAATAATGCATAACTTAATTCCTGGTAGAAACTAAAAAACTACAAAAATAAAAAAATACCAGGGTTGAAAAGCCGCTTCGCGACTTTTCAACCCTGGGTCCGTCTAATACTATGTTCCTTATTTTGCATAATGGTGCCTCTATTCCGATGAAAAAAAATGAAAAATGCTCCCTTTGGGCCTTTATATAGGCTACTGCAACTTCCGACGTATGCTAATTTCCTCCTAACAAAGTGGGTGGCCGATATTTTACGAAAAACTTAATTTTAATGTCGAAAACAACATATTTTACAAAATCTGCTATGTGTGCAGTCATCTCCAGCCCATTACGCATCTAATGACGTATCAAACATTTCCTTACACCCTTCCCCTCTTGAGATATCCTCCGGACACGCTGAGTATAGTAGTTTGGAGCTATTGATGTTGGGGGGCATCCTTTCTGGGGCTCTTAACGGCTTAAGCTGGTCTCCAAGCTTAAGCTAACCAAGTCAAGGCCCTAACCTATGCCTAATCTATGCTAGCCCGGGCTTAGGCCCAAGTTTAAACTAATTTTAGGCTTACCCTCCGTTAAGCCTAAGCTAAAGCTTGGGTACCGCGACACTTGCGGCGCGGACACTTGCGGCGCGACACTTGCGGCGCTGACACTGCGGCTGCGACATGGCGCGACACTTGCGGCGCGACACTTGCGCCCGACACTTGCGGCGCGACATTTGCGGCGCGACACTTGCGCCCGACACTTGCGGCGCGACATTTGCGGCGCGACACTTGCGCCCGACACTTGCGGCGCGACCTTGCGGTTATTTAGTATAAGCTATATAAAAATAGTTTAAGGTGTTATTTTATAAGCTGCGTTCGAATTTCGTATTAAAAAAATTGTAAGAAGTCGGGTTTGCGACAGAAGTCACTCAATTTGCAGGAAAGTGGCTGCTACTTCCCCCGCTCTGCGACTAAAAAAAGGCTTCGTGCCACCCGGAGGCCTAGTCGCTTCGGATGGGTGCGAGCTCGGACAGGGTTTCTAAATCAGGGCGCCCGAGGAGCGCGAAGCGCCCAGGCGCCCGATTTAGAAAGAGTGGAGCGGCAGCCCATCCGAAGCGACGGCCCACCTTGCCTGACGCCTCAGGGGCACTTCCGACTGCGGGTCGTTTAAATTGGTAATTTGAACACAAATACAACAATACAAACAAATCCGCGAAGAAATGCCGCCAAAATTACAACATTTTAAAATAATAAATACTGCGCCGTGAAGTGTCGGGGCGCAAGTGTCGCGCTGCGGCGTCGCGCCGCAAATGACTGCGCTGCAAGTGGCGGCCGCAAGTGGCGGGCCGCGAGTGTCGCGCCGCAACGGTCGCGCTGCAAGCAGTCGCGCCACAAGTGTCCGCGCCCGCAAGTGGCGGCGGAGCCAAAGCTGTGCTAACCTCTGTTAGGCTGTAGACTTAAGCCTATGGCCAAAACAGCTTGCCTAAGATAAGTCTAAGCTAACCCTATACAAGCTTAAAGCTATTATAAGACTAAGCTTAATCCTGGACTTCAAAAAGATGCCTACACAAGAGGAACAGCTGCGGATATATTAATAATGCCTAATCCCTCGATTGAATATTAAACATCTGCTTTTTGACTTTAAACTAACTAAACACTGATACCTATAATATTACAATATATAAGTCAAGATTAAGGAGGGCGTGAACTACAGGAGGGCGTTATTTACAGGCGTTAAATACAGGAGGGCGCGAAAGGGCGTGAAAGGGCGTTAAATACGGGTTGCCTGTATATACAGGGTGTCCCAAAAAACCCCCCCTTCTAGCGGCTCGCAGTCGTGTCCGATTTTCACCATTTAGGTATCTATCGCGCTCTTGAAAATGCGAGAAAACAAGGGAGGTTCATTTATTTTATTATGTGTTTTTATTCGCGAATTTCACCTTCAAAAACCCTGAAAGCGGCAGATTTACGCTGGATCCGCATGCTAATTGCGAAATTCTTATTGAAAAGCTACCTGTCTTTTTTGAAAAACGTTGAATCTTCGAGAGAATGTGAGTATAACTTAGAAAACGAAGCCCGCTTGTTTTCTCGCCTTTGCGCGGGCTTTCGAGTCGTGTAAAAATCACAATAAAAATCATCCTGAACTTAGTTTCCCCTGGACCGCTAGAGGAGGGTGCTTTTTTGGGACACCCAGCATATGTGTTCCTCTGAGCTCGTCAAAGATTTGAAGACCTTCCCGGGCAGCTAGAACGCTAATTTTTTTGCATGGTGGTCGAGCACCCAGGCAAACCTCGGCGCTACTTAAATCTGAAAAAATATGCGATATTGACCGAGATAATCGATTTGTACTACAAATTTGTTTTGCTTGTGAAACACGTTTTTAGGGGCTTTTTTTTCCCCACCCCACCGTGAAGGAGATTCAACAAATTTGTAAGGCTCAGCGAGAAGGGCTACGTGAGCGACCTTTCATAATTCATTCCTGTCTGATTTTAGATCTGACGCAGGTCATGCTCGGCGACATCACGGGGCTCAAGCGAGACGCCATCAAAATGTTGGAAACTGGGCGGTACAAGGAGGCAGTCGCGCAAGCGTTTTGGAAGGTGATCAAGCGGGCCATGGACAATTATCAACCCCCACCACGGGTAAATTTTGACTTTCGATTTGTTTAGTGCTTTGTTGGTTTCGAAGTCTTGTACATATATCTGTTGCCTATGTCAATCTGCTCGATACATAATGACTCGATTTGCTTCAGGACAGCGGCCGAGGGACGACGGCTAAATCGGTGAACATGAGCGGAAAGCGCGGGCTGACCAAGGAGAAGGCCGACAAGCCGAAGGGACTCATCAAGCACATGATCGTCCATCTGGTCGAAGAGCAATATTCCGTTGACCAGAAAAAGGTGGCGTCATTTTGGACTAGACTCTTACCGAGCTTTTTTTTAGTGTTTTCGCAACCTCGCCGACCTCATCAACTACTACAGCACCAGTGATCCGGCCGCCGGCGACAGCCGCGCTGACGCCAAGGTGTCTACTTCTACTTCTCTTCTCAACACCCTTTTTACAGCAAAAATGCCGTCTCGAGGAGCCGATACCGCGTCAGATCTGGGAGTACGAGCACAAGGACGTGAAGCTGGAGAAAAAGCTGGGCAATGGAGAATTTGGCGAGGTTTACCGCTTTTTTTACAAATGCAACGCCCGAATTCTAGGTTTGGAAAGGCCAACTGAACCGGAAAGGGCCTCAGCCGAAGCAGGTCGATGTTGCCATTAAACTGGTAATTTTTCTCACGATCCTGAGCACCTAGTTTTAGGCCAAAGGCGAGGTGGCGACCGCCAAGAAGAAGCGCAAGGCGATCATGCAAGAAAGCCGGGTGATGCGTGACCTTATTCATCCGAATGTGGTGGGTGACATTTCCTTATTTTGGAAAATTTTTGACTAGGTTCGTGCGTATGGCGTAGTTGTCCTCGAATATCCCATGTACATTCTGCTGGAACTGATCCAGGGCGGCGATCTGCTCAAATTCCTGAAGTCCGAGTCGAAGCCGACGCGCCGTGAGCTCAAGCGCATCATGTTCCAGGTTTTTACACGTTTTACATGTTGTTATTTGATTCTTTTCTAGTGTGCGTGTGGTCTCGAGTTTATCCACCAGAAGGAGGTCATCCACCGCGATCTGGCGGCCCGGAATTGTCTGTACGATGGCGAATGGGTGCGTGCCAAGAAGAATTCCTTTTTCACCTATCCATTGTTTTCGGTTTTTCAAAATTTTGGTACTGGGCTGTTTGCAGGGGGGGAAGCTAATTTCTGTTCGTTGTTTTCGTAAGCCTACTTGTTGGTATTATATAATATCTTTTTATAGTGTTTTTAGTCGTTTTTGATTGCTAGAAAGCCATACAAATATGTCATAATTTTTATCGTAGTGTGTAGAGCTGTACAGGATTACTGGAAAAATTTGGTTTCCCTCTGATAACAGTCCAGTAACAAATTTCAGAATTTTGGTGCTGAACCCAAATGTCGTTTCAGCTTCGCATCAGCGACTTTGGGCTGTCGGTGCGTGGGCCCGTGTTCTTGTTGCCGAAAAATGCGAACCAGCGCCTGCCGATTCGCTGGCTCGCCCCGGAGATTTTGACGGTACTATCCGAGTTGTTCTTTTTGAAAACCTTGTTCAGCTCGGCACGTGCACCTACAAGACGGACGTCTGGGCGTTTGGCTGTCTAGTGGTCGAGATCTACTCCAACGGCGCGGACAAACTCTACATGCCGGAAAGACGAACGGTGAAGTGAAGGAGGGCTTGGTAAGCATCGGAATTCTCCCGTAGCTTTTGCCCTTTTAGGTGCAACGCCACACTGCGCCCAAGATGCCGCCCGGGATCCCGCAGGACATGGTCAACTTTTGCAACGACTACATCTGGGTTCGCGAGAAGCAGCGCACCGACATGCTCAAAGTGGTCAACCTGCTCGGCGCCATCGGCCACTTCCAGCGACCCGTCATCGGCGGTGATGAGGAGCCGTAAGTGTTTTCGGCCTCTAATATAGGGGGTCTCAAAAAGTATTTTCGTAATTTCTTTTCGTCATACTCGAAAATTGGATAATTTGGCAAAAAGGCATCGTTTCGCAAATTTGCCCTGCCGTGAAAATAGCAAGCGCGTCATATCAAAGATACTTTTTGTACGGAAAAAAGCCTTGAGACGGAAACCTCTTCACTTTTACGAAACCTTTTGAATCCGGCTTCCCTCAAACTCGGGGACAACTTGTTTCTTATCTTGCAGTTTTTTTCGAATATAAATCGGGCAGGTGTGTCTAAATTGTTTTTTCTAGTCTTTTATTAAACGGAAAACTTTAGATTTTTACCAAAAAATTCAAAATGATCGATTTTTCGACAAAAACGGGCAATTTTGGCCAAATCCCCCTCGATAATCCACAAGAAACTATTTACAAGGGTTTGACTTCAAGATTCGGCTGCGCACAGTTTTGATCGGGCCGTGGTTTTGTTTTGGCTCGCGTTGTGTAATTTCCCCCTTTTTCCAGTGGAGCCACCAACATCCACGATGGCCCAAGCGTGGCCGAGACGTCTGGCACCCAGGACGGAGGAGGAAATGCTGCCGACGGCGAAGAGAAGAAGCCGCAACCTACTTAATTCAATCACGCTTGCCCCCGGCAGACTCACTTACACAAATTCGTAAAATCACATTGCTCGGTTGAAATTGTATCGTTAATTCGTGTGTTTTTTTTTTATATTGCGCTTGATCGACGTGTCGGAATGGTTATCGAACCCCGCGACAACCTCTGTGTCTGTGCCTAATAAATCGTGATTCAGCACATGCCCTGGCTTTTGTCGCTTGGCAGTATCGCACAAATTCGACCTAAAAGTTGGTACTGGAGTGTCAGCAGGGGGCACTCGTGTTTTCCAGTATTCCTATGCAAAACTACCGGAAACGTATATTTTATTTGGGGGGAAAGTTTGTGAAAGTGTGTATATCAACATAACAATTGTAAATAACGGGCAAACGGCGACAAATGGATAATCAGATGGAAATAGAGAGAGAGATAGGGAATGGAGATAACAAGGAGATGAACGAGAATCGAGGCGAGCAGATGGTGCCTTCTCACGACACTTGGCGACGGTTGAAATTGTCGTTGATGACGCGCTCGATCAGAAGACGTCCGGCAAGGCGTTGGTCCGCATCGCCGACAATACTGAAAAGAAATGATTAATGAAAAAATCATACGGTTAGCGAGAAATCAGTGAAGTCTCTACCTGATAAGCCGAGTGGCGTCATCGTGAAGTGGAAACGGCTCCTCGCCCCTCTTGTGGACGGTGATCTTGGCCCCGGTTTGTTGTTGGATGTCGATCAGGGTGCGCGCACGCGATCCCAGAATTGCACCAATGTACGAGTCGGGAACCTAAAAAATACAGAATTAAAAAATGTACAAAGATGCGTACTAAAAAGCTTTTATCCGTCGGATTAATTCAGAAAATTCTAGAACGACTTTTAGCCCTGATTTCGAGTATCAACATCCAAAATCGTTGAAATAGCCGAAATCAGCTCCGAAAGTCGCCCCAGTTAGGGCGGTGCGGAAATAAGGGAACTTCTTTACGACCGAAAAAAAGGAAATTGATACCTGAACGTCGAGCTGATTCTCCTCCCTCGATTCCATGCTGCTGATCACGGACGCCGCGTGACCGCCCGCCTCGACGGTGTTCAGACGCGTGAGAAGTGGCTACAAGAAAATCAGTCATATAACAATCATAAAGGGGTATTACCAAATTCTGTGGTTTGGCCCATTTGCGAGATGCTGTAGCCCCAGCATTGACTGCCCGTCGGTTGATTCTGGAAACAGCAGGTTTAGATACCACTTTGCATGAGCTTTCCACTCGGGAAGGCCAAACAGGCCCGCGCTCAGAGCAGAGTCTGATCCTATGAATCTGGACCTATTTGGCCTTGCCGAGGGCGTCTAAAGACGCAAAACGCCTGGCTGCTAACATTGAGACTTTTTTAGCGTCAACGGATTCGAAATGTGATCTTTTCACTTTTCCTAAAGGATTTCCGGGGGGAAGGGATTTCCGCGTTTTTTATAGATTTTCCACGCTTGTTTCATCGATCCTAGGGTAGTTTGATGTTTTTTTTTTCATTATTGTAACCAGCGCTGACCCCCCACTCCGCGGCATGGCTCCGATGAAAGTTTTCAGCCCCCAGCTACGGTATATTTGGGGGTTCGCTGCGGGATTGAATTCCCGGTCGGTCGGTCGGCGGGCGTACGGACATTAGAAATTTATGTATTGTAGATCGTAGATAGTAGATAGTAGATTTTTCCGAATTTTCAGTATTTTTCTCATGTCAAGCGCTCAGGATTTGGATGCGGACTTTTGGCTGTGATTAGGGGCAGTACTTTGTGGTTTGGGTGATTATGATTTTGCGGGTGGGGCCTCTTCGGTTGCGCAATTCCCTTTTTTATGAATTCTGGCGTGCTTTATGCGACGAACGATATGGTTAACCTCCTTGAATCTTCTTGAATTCACCTTTTTGAACTATAAATTTATTTTTGACCTTCTGTTTTCAGAATGACTTCACCGTTCGCATCGTTGCCGAGCACTCGCTACACGACCCCAGGGGTTGGAAATATTTGTTTTGCTTTTGAAACACGTTTTTAGGGTCTTTTTTTTTCCCCACCCACCGTGAAGGAGATTCAACAAATTTGTAAGGCTCAGCGAGAAGGGCTACGTGAGCGACCTTTCATAATTCATTCCTGTCTGATTTTAGATCTGACGCAGGTCATGCTCGGCGACATCACGGGGCTCAAGCGAGACCCCATCAAAAAGTTGGAAACTGGGCGGTACAAGGAGGCAGTCGCGCAAGCGTTTTGGAAGGTGATCAAGCGGGCCATGGACAATTATCAACCCCCACCACGGGTAAATTTTGACTTTCGATTTGTTTAGTGCTTTGTTGGTTTCGAAGTCATGCGGTGCATAGTGTATAACCGAAATCTAATGTGAAGATTACACACCTTCCCTTATGCAGATGTGGCCTAAATCAAATAGTTTTTAAAATTTACGCTATGAATGGTCCGACCGCGAGTAGAAATATATATTATTATGGCATAAGTACAGTCTAACCATTATAATTAATGAGATTTTAGAGAAGTTTTTTTTCAGCGGACATAATCAGATTTTCCAGGAGTACAGCGCCGAGGTGCGCGCGACCATCGAGACGGCAGACATCGTCATCGAAGTCCTGGACGCGAGGGACCCGCTCGGCAGCCGGTCAAAGGTCATGGAACAAAAGGTAGATTTTTTTGAGATTTCTGGATTGTGAATTTAGGTGATTAACGCCGGCAAGCCCCTCATACTGATTGTGAACAAGATCGACCTCGTGCCAAAGGAGAACGTGCGCGTGTGGCTTGAATTCCTGCGCGATTTATACCCAACCATCGCCTTCAAGGCCAGCACTCAGGAGCAGAACAGCAAATTGGTAAGTTTGTTTTTCTTGAGCTTTTATTGCGGCCTTCAAACCAAATTTTTGATTTTCAGGGTCCTTTCGGCGGATCCAAGCCCTCCAACTCGTCGTCAGCCAAGTGCATCGGCGCCGATTCGATCTTCAAGCTGCTCGGGAACTACTGCCGCAACAAGGACATCAAGACGAGCATCCGCGTCGGCCGTGTCGGCTTTCCCAACGTCGGCAAGAGCTCGGTCATCAACTCGTTGATGGAAAAACGCGCGTGCAGCGTCGGTGCCAAGCCCGGCGTCACAAAGTACGTTGCCTTGCTTCCGATATGGCTAAATCGCTTTAGACAAGTCCAAGAAGTCGAGCTCGACAAGAACATCCGCCTGCTCGATTCGCCGGGTTTAGTTTTCCTCCCGAAGTTAGAGCTGGACACGCATGAGGTGGCGCTGCGGAAAGCGATTCAGGTCGAGAAGTTTTCGGACCCGGTTGTCGCAGTGGGCGCCATCCTGCGCAGATGCTCAAAGGAGACGGTACGTTTGTTTTTACTTTCGGGCGGACCTTTCGGTCTGGCAATTCCATGGACCCGTTTGACTATTTTTTTTCCCAGCTGATGCTCCACTACACGGACGACGAGTTCGACTCGTGCGACAAGTTCCTGGCACTCGTCGCACGCAAGCTGAAGAAGGGTGGCGTTGCTGATGTCGACGCGGCTGCGCGACACGTACTTCAAGACTGGAAACGCGGCCGCCTCCGCTACTACACGCAACCCCCCAAGCAGGTAAAAACTTGATTGATGTCATGACATTATACTTGTTTTTTTGTGTATATTGTTTTATTCGGCAGAAATACTTGTGATCAATTAATGTGCATTTCAGCCCGCCTTGCATGAAACGAGCGGTGCCGCCGAGATTGTGCAGCAGTTCAGCAAGGAATTCGACATGGCCTCGCTGGACCCGGACATCGCCAAGCTCATCGACGGTAAAAGTTATATTTTTTTGGATCTAACTCGAATTTTAGCGCTTCCCATGGAGACGTCCAGCGATGTGGCGACGGCGGTCGACGGCGGTCCCCAACTCAAGCGCGGCGAGCAGCAGCAGCCCGACCAGCCGGTCAAGAAGCCGAAGCTGGATATGAAGGATCACGGGGAAAATTTCACTTTACGGTATGGTCCCAAAATGTCGATTTTTCGACTGGAATCGATCCAGCTCGATGAGTTTGTGCGTTTCCAGTTGAAAAAACGATTGGGAAACGCTTCTGGACAAAGTTATAGGCTTTTGAAAACCGCTAGTTCACTTTACGGTATGTGAACAAAACCTCAATTTTTGAACAGGAAACGATAAAGCTCGATGAGATAAAGCGTTTTCAGTTGAAAAAACAATTGGGAAATTTAAAATAAGAAAATTATGACGTTTCAAAGATATTTTTGCCAAGGACTGTAGGCTACGCAACACTCCTATCCCCGCATTCTAGCGCGTGCGCTCTCAGCCAGCGCTTACGTATTTATCTAAAAGCATTTATAATTTTTAAAACTAGTATTTTAAGCATAGAATAGATAAATAACAGTTGTGGCCTCCAACATTGTCAGGCAAGGCGGGCCGTCGCTTCGGATGGGCTGCCGCTCCACTCTTCCGAAATCGGGGCGCCTGGGCGCTGCGCTCCTCGGGCGCCCCGATTTCGAAACCCTGTACGAGCTCGCACCCATCCGAGGCGACTAGGCCCCGGGTGGCACGAAGCCTTATTTTTAGGCTTAAATTGGGTATTCAGCTAGCAAGCCCCTTCAAAAAGGCCAATATTTTGGTCAATTTTCAAAAGCTCATAACTTTGTCCAGAAGCGTTTCCCAATCGTTTTTTCAACTGAAAACGCACGAACTCGTCGGGATACATCGATTCCAGACGAAAAAATGACATTCTGAGAACATACCGTAAAGTGAAATTTAGCCGGATCACGGCCTCATCTGAGCCCTTTGCGTTGAGTTGTTATACATTGTGTTTTATTGAGAATAAAGTCATTCGTGTTTCGATTTGCCGAAGGCGCTTCGTTTGGGTACGGTCTACTGTCACTACGGGAAGATACCGGCATTTTTTCCAAAATAATTCAAAAAGAAACCATATGCCAAATGTCAAACAATCCTGTCCTCTCTGTAACTGCCGAATCGTATGCATCGTCCGTTCAAAAACAGTGTGAGCTTTATTGTTGCGCTATAAGAACAAAGTGGTGAAGCAATCATATATTTCGGGGAAATGTAAATAAATGGACGAATGAGTCATGGAGAGATTTACGAACGACGATCAAGAGGGTAGGCATGTTGTCGAGTTTGGGGCCATGATGGAAGTGGAAGCCCGAAGACCTTGGACTGGCTTGGCTTCTGGGCTTACGAAGAGGCACCTCCAAGCTGCTCGGCGTACACCTGAAAAACATCAATAGCACGGATCAAAATGATTCAGTTAGGGTACTCTCCCAAAAAATTTTCCGTTTTTTGTTCAAATCAGTAAATACAGGTCAGAGAAACGGACTCGGCGTCAAATTAGATAGCGGAAGACACTTTCTATTAGAGAAAATATTAATTCATTTTAGGAGAGTACCGTCAACGAATCCCACAAATTCATGTAATGCTGCGGGAAACCGGAGAAAATATACCTCAATGACGTCATCGTTTTCCATTTCCATGCTCTTTGGTGTATCCTCGTCGTTGATTCGGCGGCCGTCGAAGAGGAAGCTGAAAAAAAATAATTGAACACTGCGCAGGAAATGCGGCACCGCGAGCCAGAATTTCGAAACTACACAAAAAGAGAACGCTCACAAAACTCACCGCAACGAGTTGACGGCGGTGCCTGTCCTTTCCGCGTAAGACTTCTTCAATTTGGCCATCGATGTGCCGAACTTGACGCGGAAGTGCACTTCATTTGAATCTTGGCCGACGACCTTCAGCTTGATGTATTCCTTGTCGGCCTCCTCGGTCATTGTGGCCGGCTTCTTGTTGGCGGTTCTAAATTGAGACGTGTAGAACAGGGAAGGAAGTCAAGAAACGAAACGGAAGACGATAGGTTTAGTTTTTTTGCGAGCTTAGCTTGTGCGCATGTTTGAGACTCAATGGAACGTGGCTATAGCTAGGAAAAAAACGGCTGGTGCCAATTTTCAGAACAAAGATATCAGAAAAGCAATAGATTTCCCAAAATTCTTTCAAAAAATTTGGCGATAAATCCGATCGAGATCGAAAGAGTCGAGAATCTCCGTTACGATAGTCGACAAAGGGATGCGCGGCGGAACCCAGCTACGGTGCGCTACGACTGACTACACTTTACAGAATTTCTATAACGCGCGCTACCGTAACGACAAAGGAAGATGCGGCGTCCCGCTTTTTCCAAACTCGGATTTCTTTTGATCCGAGGCGTCTTGCCATCTTCTTGCCGTAGATCAATTGGTTTGCCGAAAATTGCTACTTGAACCAAAGTATCTGTGTAGCATTTGTTGCCTAAAATTATTGCATTTCACACTCAAGCGCTTTCTTTTGGACTTTGGACTGGGTTTTGGACGCACAACAAAATATTACATACTTTTCCTCTCGAATGGCTCCGTCAAAATTATTCAACAAGGGTCCTATGATCAAACTGCCATCTTTTTCGATCAGTTATTTCCGGTCTTTTGACTTTCCTTGAGTTCTGCTTTCCTTTTTCCAGGTATCATTTCAATCTGTGTTTTAGACTCGGGATGGCGATCCCATTGGATATGGACGACAGCGGAACAAAAGGGCGCTATGATCCCATCTCGATGGAAGTTACGCGCAACGATGCCCGGGGTTCGCCACTCTCCCATCAACTCGAATCACTCCACTGCTCGAAGACCCTACACGATGGCGACATCGCTCCGATTTATGGGCAGAGTTCACTTCCTCCGAGGTTCATTGTGCCTTCGGGTTTTAACTTTGCTTTAGATCTCTTGCTGAACGGTACGATGATGCAGTAGAAAGTCTTCAAAGCTGTTATGCCAAGTCTTGTGGACGCCTACCCACCTTCCTCGTCGTCCTGTTCTTCCTGGCACTCATCGGTGTCCTCATAGTCCTTGCGGTGGTGTTGTTCGTTCTCGTCGCACCCGGCGAGCAGCAACCTTTGACAATGCGAGGCCAAGCTGTTCTGGCAAGTGTTTTGTTTGTTAACTTTTACAAACGTTTAGGCGTCTCTGGATGCGAGAGCGGGCGCGATCGTTTGGCCAAAGATGGCTGACGACGGGGGTCAACAACTCGAATCCAGCATCCCCAGGAACCCGAACGTCTCTTCTTGCCTTGGCTATGGGTTCAGCTGCACCACCAACCCCACAGAAGTAATCGCGTCGACTCGGCGCTGTGACGGTGTTCCGGATTGTGCGGACAGCTCCGATGAGACTGCTTGCAAAAGTTGGCTGATCGGGTTAGGTGTTTAATTTTGTTTTAGAATGCAACACTCGTTATGGCTGCCCCAACACTATGCTCCGCAACATCCGTGGAATGATCTGCTTGACCCCGGAGCAGATCTGCGACGGCATCGCACATTGCCCGGATCGATGGGACGAGGAGGAATTTTGTCGTAAGAACGTGCTGCGTGTTTAATATTACTTGCTTAGGTGACGCCTGCAAAGAAAACGAATTCCCGTGTCCACTGAAGAACTCGACCCTAACCATGTGCCTTCCACAAGATGCTATTTGCGACGGCGTGCGGGACTGCCCAGGCGGCGAAGACGAAAAAGATTGCAAGGATATCGATGAATGCAGCGGTTCTGCCAGGGTATGCTTCTTAGTCTTGGCTTTTACCGACGATTTTTAGATGTGCAAAGCGGAGGGGAAGTGCCTCCCCGCCCGCAAGATTTGCGATGGCGTCAAGGATTGCACCGATGGATCTGACGAACAGGTATTTGTTGTACAAATACCTCTAATTTGTTGTAGGATTGCAACTGTTACAAATGCTCGGGCACCGGCAAGAACCTCTGCGACGACGGCACTTGCATCACGATGGATAAGCTTTGCGATGGGGCGGTCGACTGCGGCAACGGCTTCGACGAGCAGGGATGCCCATAATGAGAGGAGGAATTTACTGTGAATTCGCACTCTAACGTGCTTTTGCTTTGTACTTTCGCAATTTGTGCATGATTGTGTAATAAAGGGTTTTCGCTTACCAATTGAAGGGGTTTTGTTACATGCAATGGCTGGTGTGGGGCACTATTGTTTTACGCGCAAAAATAGTTTTGCATCGCTTTTCAATACTGCCTTGGGCGTACGGCTTCACAAAGTTAATATTCCCTGGCGCGTATGCTTCAGCTGGTCGTGGCTACATTATTTCTGTTAGGCCTCACGCCCAGACAAATGAGAGCGTGGTCAGCGATCTGTCGAATGGCGCGAAGCCGTCAAAAACCGCGGCCTTTTAGGCGCGTGATCAACAAGTTAGGCTCGGACAGGCACCGAGCCGCAAGCGTACTTCAACTCTGCCCAACCGCGCGGCGACGACAAAGCCTCCAACTAGCAGTTCAGTCTCCGTCCACTTCCTGACTATCCTGCCGTCTCACGATTGCATCCTCCGACATTCCCCATGCTCAAAGTACCGATGCACGTGTGCAAACTAAATTTATGCTGTCCTTGACAAACATCACAGAAACGATGAACCGAGTCAACAATTAAGCAATAAGTTCTAGAGATCATGCGCGAGTGCTGCAACAAGACAACAAGAAAAGCGAAAAGGAATGATGAAGCAAGGAAACATATCGTCGAGAGAAATCGAAAATCGGGAAATGTCGACTGTCAGACGAGGTTATCTTTGCTGGGCTCCACGGGAGCTGGCACTGTCCTGGAGTAGGCGGGCGGAGGGCTCGTTATCTATATCTCGAGTCGAAACAAAGAAAGAGCTTACCTTCATAGTGGTCGGCTTCTGTTCATCGGCGCCTTGTGCCGACGCAGCCGACATCTCGCTTGCCTGTCCTTTGCGGAAATCCGTCAGGCAACCGGTCGATGTTTCTAATTCGTCGCTGAGCATTTCGCTGTACTCGCGTTTGGCAGCATAACTAAATGCTCAAAATCTCACAAAAGGAACAGCCTTACAATTCAAGTAAAATGATGGCCAATTCGGATGGGATGATCGGACCCAAATGGTCTGATACCAGCCTGAAGAACATCCGGGTATCCCAGGAACAAAACTGCAAAAACACATTGGTAATGAGAACATATTAATACCGAGTCGAAGTCGCGTAGGAGATTCTTCAATAAGGGTGCCGGCAATCGGCGAGTGTAGTTGCTGGTTTGCACTCCATAAAGGATCAATTCATCAGTAGCCGGATATTGCTGAATCCAACGTCAATTTAGGCCAAAATATCCCCCACCTTGATCATCTCAACAACGGCCGCCGAAGAAGTGTCGCAGAGCAACGTTGCGAGCCAACTGCAGAGGCTAACGGCTGACATCACAGATAGCTAAAATGCTGATACGGTTCTTTCGCATTGTCGGGGGTAAACAATTTTTTCTTAGGATCGAAGTTTTTTAAAATATAGATAGCGGAAGTGTTCCGAACTGTTTTTACTATTCCCAAGGGTAAAACTTTGCATGTTTTCATCAAAAAATACGAAAAAAATAGATTTTCTGACAAATTCTAGTTGAGCCAATTTGTTTCCCCATCCCTAATCCAAAAGAACCAAATTCGTACCAACGCAAACCAGATCCACATTAACAGGTAGATCTTCTCGTTGATATAATTGTACGGCAGAATGCATTCCATCCAATGGTCCTGTATCATGTCTCCCCTCGTAAACTCGGTGCCGAGACAGAAAACTTTCTGGGAGCAACGTTGTATATGGTAACACAAAGCTTACTAGAGGGAAGAGCCCGGAATAATTGTCGAACTGCGCCCGCCCAAGCGCATTTATCACCTATAAACGGTAAATAGAATTATAAGGCGTATTATGGATACCATTTGCCATGCCATGCCTTGGTCCGAGATTCCAAGGAAATATGTGACAAGGCAAAGTTGAGCCAGCACGTTCACCAGTTGAAGTACCTTGAAGGCTATGTAGGCGACGGCGGCGGATTTTCCCCGCAGGCACTCCTCGATACTACACATTTCCTGAACAAGACCTTCAAAAATCTATCAAGACCAAATACCCGTGTCGATTCGTGCCGCAGGTTTTCATAAATCCTCAGGACAAGCGTTTCCAGATCATTTTCGCCCGGCTTGACCAGATTCAGTGTTCGTTTTACGCCTCCATCTTTCACCTAAGCGACTGTAAGAATCTCAAAAAACTAGCCCACATGCTCCAGATAACACTTATTTGCCTGCCTCGCACCTTGGACATGGGAGACCTCTAAAACATTGTTGCGTCAAACCGTAAAACGAACTTGGTGTTGGTAGCACGCTGTCATAAATATAAGCCGGCAGGCGGAAGAACGACAATTGTAGGAAGAGGATGAAGGGGATCCACTAAAAATAATTGTAAAAAAAAAACATGGCGCAACCTCAAAATTATCGAATACACCTCCACTCGTATGCTTTGGGGCGAAGAAGCAAAATTCGTCAAAATATTCCAGTTTCGAATACTGATCTAAAGCGGGTCTCAGGAGGGTCAAGCGTCTCACATTGCCATTGAGCCGGGTACAAGCAGGAGATTTTGGTGCCGAAAAACCTCGCGCCGGAGACCATCGCCAGGGCGATGTACAACAGTAACGGCGTCCAAAGGAAGTTGAGTCGGTCGACGAAATCATCCGCCTAGGAGCGTTTGGCCGAGAACGAGAATCTAACCTTGGCATGAATGCTTATAGCGAAAGAAATGGACGCTACGAAAGCTTTAGGCGAAGGGAGTTTTGCGCGACCCTTCATTCCGTTGTGCGCGTCAAGCTAAACGATAGCTGAACCGACAACACCCACTAAGAATCAAGATAAAGCCTGTTAATGTCACATGTCGGCCGCTCATCCAGTGTTAGCAAGCAAAGCATAAGTACAAAGGTTTATTCGATGAAAAGCTATGGCACTGGTAAAATCTACACAAATCACAGCAAAATGAAAGGATTCGAAAGGTGTCGTTGGCTCATGCGCGTGCGTAGGTGCGGACACACTTCACTCCATTGCACTCGCAGACGACCTTCAGCTTCCCGTCCTCGACGAAGCGCTCGAAACGCGAGTCCTTGCCACCGTTGAGGCCAGTCTCTTGTTGGATGAGCTTGTCGCCCTCGATCGTATACTTGGATTTCACCTAAAAATGTAAAATGATCGTCGGAAAGAACGGAGCATACATCACGTCCGTCGGCAGTCTTGTCAGCGAACTCTTCTCCGACGACGAACTTCGCAACGTGCGTCTTGAAGGTGGAGGTAGAGGTGATCGTCCAGTTGTTGCCTAAAGAAACAAATCTCAATGTCCGAAATTCTTCGCCAAAACGATCTCACAGCTCCAAAAACTGCCCGCAAAGCCATACCTTCAATAACGATGTCGAGCACGGGCTTGAGATTGACGGCAACCTTGCGGGTCAGGAAGGAGACGCCGCATTCCTTCATGTACTCGTCGAAGTTCTCGCCGGAGACGAAGTTCCACTTGCCAGCCAGCTTGTCCGCCATTGTAGTGAGCTGAAAAAGCGAGAGGTAACGCTGGAAAGAAAGGAAAGCTGCGACAAAAAAAAAGGAAACGGAACGAACGAGTGCCAAAAATGCAAAATCGCGAGCCACGCGAAAACCTCGCTGTGATCGCTACCGTAGTCGCAACCCTACGCGTAGCTCCAAACGCTGAGGTGCTGTTTAGCCTCGCAGAACGTGTACCAAGCGGAAAAATGGGAAAATGCGCGCGAAAAAGAGAAAACCGCGATATTTTCGCGTGAGATTCACAAAATTCACGACAAATACAGCAAAGTAGACACTGGGCCGAACTGCTCGATTTTGATTTATTGGATGAAATATTATGACAAGTACTTTAAGCGAATCAATCGTATAGTATGCTTTTAAGAAGGGATGGCGCCGTCACGGTCAGGTCGCATCGGTGCTGCGCTGGGCCTTGCGCAACTCGTCGGCCAACACGCCGAAGCTCGGGCGTTTCGACGGTTCCTCCGCCCAGCAGCGCATCATCAGCAACCGGATCGCCATCGGGATCTGAAAATTGGGCTGATTATGGAAGGGCTGGTGGCTAGCCACGTTGGTCGGCAGCTCCATGCGGAAACTGTTGCCCTTGAGCAGCTCCTCGCGGACGACACGATTGCGCAATCCGGTGTACGGCTCGCGCGCTTCGTTGTAGAACTCGAACAGCATCACGCCAAACGCCCACACATCGCTGGCCCACGAGAAGTCGCCGCTGCGCAGAACCTAAATTGGCGGGGTCGAATCAACGTGACAAAGATAGATCGATACCTCTGGGGCGGCCCATTTAATTGGCAACACCATAGCGTTGGCATTGTCGGCCTTACGGCGCAGAATCTCCACATCGGTCGTCAGTCCGAAATCAGCAACTTTCAACTAAAAGAATCGATATTACGAGTTTTTTCGCATTATCGGGGAGGGGGGAGAACTTTTTTCTTATCATGAATTTTTTAAATAGAAATGGCAGACGTGTTTCTAAACTGTTGTATACTATTCGAAACGTAAAAACTTCAAATATATTTGTTGGAAATACAGAACAAAAATCAAATTTTCGACCAAAATTCGGACTTTTTGAAAACATTTTCAAAGTTTTTAGGTGGTTTTTCTAGTTAAGAGATCGGTTTTTGGACTAAAAATCATACGGAAATACTTCCGAAACAACTAGGCTTTTATAAATTAGTCCAAAAAAATGTCCTACCCCCGATAATGCGTAAGGACTTCAAGCCGCTTTAGCCGAAAAGACAAACACTAAGATTCTCGTCGAGTAGACAGTTCCTGGCCGCCACATCACGGTGCACAAAGTCGCGATTGGTCAGGTATTTGAGCCCTTCGCAAGCCTCGATCGCCAGCCGGTTCTTCACCGCCATCGACACACCCTCGCCATGTTTTTGCAGGTACTAAAACAAGCGTCTAATTATGTCTTAACGTTATCAAACGAACGTTGCGAGCACATCCTCCCCGACAGTACTCCATGATGATCATCAGCGCCGGTTTCAACGAGCAAATGCCGTAGAAGTGAACTGGAAACGGGGAGTATTTCGGAAAGGCGGATAGCAGCTGACCAATGTTGGGATGCTTGAGCTGCCACATCACGTAGGCCTCCTCGAGGAATTTCTTCTGATGTAGGATGTCCTTGGTGCGATTCGCGCCCGGGTTTGACGCCAATGTGGACGGCTGAAAACAAAAAAAGACCTCAATCAACAGTTGGAAAAACACTATATTGGCTGAATCGGCAAACCTGGACCGCCAGGAATAAAGTGGGTATTGCTAAGCTCCCGCTACCGCTAAACGCAAAGCCCCGCTAAATCGGCACCTTGAAGATCTTGACCGCCACTTCGAACTTCTTGTTCCGGTCGTGCAACGTGCCATCGTAGACGACACCGAAATTGCCGCCTCCAATCCGGTCGTGCAGCTGGACTCGTTTGTGCGGCAAGATGTAAGGCTAAAATTAGATGCTTGCCAAAAGTCATAAAATATAGCCAACCACACGCGGCACGGAGCGGTTCAGGTAGACGAGTTTGTCGACGCCATTCTCAAACGGCTGCGAGAGGCCCTCGCCACAAGCATATTCGGCGACCAGCTCCTGGATCGTCGGCTTCGTGATCTTGCCGCCGCGGAAGCGGTACTGCTTGCGCTGCAAATAAGGAGTACTGGTTCATTAGCGGGGGAGGGACGGGGGGGGCTGGCTTCCTCTATTCAGCTCAACGTTCATAGTAATAAAACAGAGACGATTTCTCAGTTTTTAGTATTGCCGATTATTACTAAAGCCGTAGAAATGTTTGAGCGTTGATTATTTTGAGCGGTTTTTTAACAAAGAAAAAAGTTATAAAAAGGTTTGAAACCGGTGATCAAATTAGTTCTTTTCAAAGCTTCGATTCTATGCGAAAAACTTTAAAAAAATAAATTTTTCGAAAATTTTAATAAGTTTTATACAATTTTTGGAGTTAGAAAAGACGTAAAAAGCTGCTAAAATGAGCACGATTTCTAGAAAAAAGTCGGGTTTTCCTCGGTAACGAACCAGCAACAATTTAACGATTTTATTCGAGTACCTTTCCGCCCTTGATCGGAATGAAGCGGATGTCGCGAGGCGCCACACACAACCCAATTCCGCTGGCCAAGTGCCACTGAAAGAATGCAAAACCAAGTAAGACAACACCGAGGACTCGAACCCCTTTTTTCTCATTGTTGTAGGGGAGTATGCCGAGAATGTAGTCGCCGGGGTACTTGAGCATCTTGGTGATGTAGTGCATCGTAAAGTAGCCGTGAAAGTAGTCCCGGTTGATGACAGTTTGATCGACGAGCGTCCAGCTAAATTCGGTTAGGCGCACGCGATACTGCCCTACTATTCGTCATCTTGCACTTGGATCGAATTCTGGATGGCCAATTCTTCTTGTACCTTGCTGGCAAGGGCCGCCTGTTGGTTGTTGGGGATCCGAGGTGGGGTCGCCGCGCCGTCTCGCACTTTCTAAAAAAAAGCAACGCTTTCGTCAGTTTGCAAAATTAATGCCTTACCTTGATCTTTCCAGAGTTGTTCTGCTTTTTATTGGGAACTTGCGAGCTGACCACCCGAGGGACGGAAGCACGGACCTGGAAACAACGCAATTTTAAGCTTAGTGAAGTTTAGCAAACTTTAAAAACGTAAGTGTTTTATCCTTATTCTAAATTTCAGATCATTACAGCATTGCACTTTTTCTCAGCGCAATCCCTGTTGTTTTTTTCAAAAGGCTCGCTGTCTTCAACCTATTAAAACCGTGTAAAAGCACTTTATTTTTTAAATACGAGCGCAACCTAATGGTTTAAAAGGAATTGATTTTCCCTTATCTGGCCCTCGGAAGAGTTGCGACGGAATTAACACGAATTCCAGCCATAATCGCGACAGCCGAGATCCCTACAGCCATAATCCCGACATTCAAGCTCTTGAAAGCCAAAATGTGCTATTTCCGGTCGTGTGATCCATAACTGGCTTTAAAAATTGGGGGTTTCAGCCTGTCGGGATTCTGGCTGTCGGAATTTTGAATGTCGGGATCTTGGCGTTTTCCCCCCTAACACGGAAGCCCCAAAATCAAGACCGCAATTGTTCAAAACCTGGTTGTAGGAAGGTCCGGTGTGGCGGGTACGCGTGGCGACCTTCGGCTGCACCGGAAACGCGATCGGAAAAGTTGCAGGCGGGGCGTTCTTCGCAGAATTCCTACAAATAAAAGTAAAAATCGCTGGGTAAGGATACGAACGATTGAGCGGTGGATACGCCGGCGATCGGCTTGAACGGGATCGGAGATTGCTGCTTGTCGCCAAAATCGGCATCGCACGTGTTGGTGGTGGTGGTGTTGGTCTGGTCGCCGCTGCGGTTTGTGGCACGCTCCCGTCGTTTGGTGCTCTTCTTCCGTTCGTGGGGCACGACGGGAAATTCTTCGCGTCGCGGATCGCGTGTCAGAAATACGGGCGGGGGCTGAGCGGGTTGCGGTGGGGCCGGCGGATTGGGGGTGGGCAGCTCTCGCTCGGGCGGCGAGACTGGGGGCGGCCCGGTGCCGATCAGCTGTGCTCCGGTCACCACTTCGCGTGGGCTTCCAACTGCAATATTCTAGATTGGTAGTGGACTGTTAACGGGGGAGGGGGGGAAGTGAAAATCCATTTTTGTTTTTCAATCGCCAGTTATCGCTTGCAAAACCAGTCATTGATGATATATAATGCATGTTTATAGTTTTCACCAGTTTTTCCATGCTAGAAACTTGTAAAAATACCGCAAAAAAATTCGAAAATTCGAAAATTTTTACCTTTTCATGCAATCTTGACCAAAAAGTCGTAAATTTTATTATTTTTTGTGCTTTTTATATCCAAAAATACGATAAATGGGTAAGCGTCTAGCAACTCCTCCCCCCCTCCCCCGGAGACCCCCACGCTAACAGTCCAGAATAGCGCCTTCCAAAAGCCGACCTGCAGGAATGTAGGTGGACGGTGCTGGCGGCGTGGGCGCTTTCGGCGAATTGGCCTCGTTCGTCTTCTCGGTCGTCTCCAGCTGCTGCTTCAGATCCTTTTTCTCCTTCTCCCGTTCCTTCTCGCGCTCCTTCTCCCGTTCCCGGTCCTTTTCTCTCTCCTTCTCCTTGTCTTTCTCTCTCTCCTTTTCCCTCTCCTTCTCCTTGTCGGTATCCTTGTCACGTGGCGGCTCGACGGACTTCGGAATCGGGACTGAACAAACGTCTTCAAAAACTCGGAAAATCCCTACTTGGCATGAAAGGCTGATCATCGTCCCCTTCATCGGCACACGTCTGCTCCACGAGCTCGCGTTTCTTTTTCTGAAAAACATTCAGTGACGGAGAGTGATGAGAAATACCTTTTCGGACATAGAGAACTGAGAAATGGCCGGAAAACGGCCAATAGAAGCATTTTAAAGCGGAAGCCTCCTATGCAAATGTCGTAGCAGATCCGGTAGTTTTAAAACTGAGAATGATTGTAATTGGCAAAGCGCGTTGATCCATAGAAGGCGATCGACACGCGATAGCCCTGACTTCGCAGTTAAACTCAATCCAACCCAACCTGCTACAACTTGTCTTTGGAAAGAAGCTACTTTATTTGCGGTTTCGAAAGCACATGATGAGTACGGTTGCAGATGGGATCATAAGATGAGAAAGCAGTTACAGTTCAGTCATCGATGCGATACAAAGGGATCAGCACAAAATATAAAAAACGAAAGAGACAAGACACAAGTGTAAGGAGACATTTAGGTGGCAAATGTAGCACGGGGTCAGCAAAAAAGATATAGCCAATGAATAACTTTGATCAACTTTGAATCATGGCTTCCAATTGCGCTGACGGAGCGGGGTGGCACGTTTCGCGGGGGATGGGCACGGAGATGAACAGTCGGATGGAGCTGGCCGTTTGTAGGCGGCTTTTGGCGATGAAGTCTTCGGGCCAGACTAAAATAATGCGTTTCGAGGGCTATAGGGCGGTTTTAACGCGTTGAAATTTTGGTCGAATATCGAACATTTTTGGGCAAAAAACTAGAAATTTCTAGATTAAAACAAAAAATGTCCTCCCCCGATAATGCGAAAGGACCCGAAAATGAATTACCGAGACAACCCGGCAAGGTCCGATGCAGCTGATGTCGATGGGCATGTGCAAATTGCGGAGGGACATCGCTGGCGTCATTCCGGCCCTTGATGGTGTTCCTTTCATCTGGGCCTCGAATTCCTTGTTTTCAGCGCGAACTCGGACTTTGCGCTTCAGCCATTCCACCGGGTCGAGGTCGTCAAACTAAAAGCACCCTTTGATCAGAATTGGAATAAAGTTCGTAAATATCAGAGATCGTTTTTGTGCCCTTTTTCTGAACCAAAACGCTGTAACGCGCCAACATTATTAGGAGCATCCCCCCATTTTAAGACTCTAGTACCGTTTTTACGAACCTTCAATTCGTCCTCTGGGTTCTCGTCTCGGTAGATGGCGTAGGCGAGGGCGACTTCCCGCTGCGCATGGGGCAGCAACTGCTTCTCAACGGCTTTTCGCTCTTTTTAGCCGCTTCTCGAGTTGACCTCCGCGGTTATTGAACCGGGCCGGATCCTTTTCCCATTCTTCGTGCGCTAACTTCTCATCCCAAAGCTCTGTCCAGGCCGTCAACTTGTCGAGCACCTACAAAAAAACAAGAATTACCACCGTAACTAGTCGACTAACCGTTTTTTGGCGGTCGTAGAGTTCCGTGAGATGGGCTATTCTTTCATCCATGATTGCGAGCGTGGAGGCATCGTGATGATCTAAAAATGAGCCTTTGTTTGAAACAGAGATCAGCGTTACCAGGTGAGAATTCTTCGGGCATAGTCCAGTCCGATATCGGTACATGGCACTTCTCCCAGAGATCACGTAGCGCGATTCGCTTTTCGGTGTAGAGGAATTCCAGGGTCCCAATGTGCTCCTTCGACTCCACCACCAACTAAACAAATTTTTTGAAGCAATTTTTCAGAGCAACATCCGCAACCGGTTAACTAATAATTCGGAGGAGCTATTGATGTTAGGGGGGGCATCTTTTTTTTGGCGCCCAGTCTTAGGCTTAGGCTTAGCTTTGACTTCACGTACGCTTGGCTTATACTTAGCTTAGACCTAGGCTTGGCTTAGGCTTAGGCTTAGGATTAGGATTAGGCTTAGCTTAGGCTTGGCTTAGGCTTAGTCTATGCTTAGTCTAGGCCTAGCTTAGGCTTGGCCCAGCCCTAGCTTAGGCTTGTTCTAGGCTTAGCTTAGGATTCGGCTTAAGCCTAGGCTTGGCTTATGTTATGCTTAGGCTGGGCTTGGCTTGGTTAGCTTAGACTTGGAGACAAGCTTAGGCCGGAAAAAAAACTCCAAAAAAAATATGCCCCCCCAAACATCAATAGCTCCAATAATTCTTACCTGCTCCGCGGCCTCCGTCGTCCGGTCGACCAACATTCTGCCCAGCACGAGATCGCCGTTGTCGAGGTCGAGTGCGAGTAGATCTTGAATCGTCGCTGGGCAGTCGCGTTTTTTTCGGCCTAAAGTTTATTACTATCTACCGAAAAATCTATTACCCAGTTTCTTGACCGCATCCCGGGCATCACGTTGTGCTTTGGCGAAGAAGCGACAGCCGTTCTTCGACGAGGTGCTCCATTTCCGCGGATTTTTCCTTCAAAGAGTCGAAGTCGGCCTTTGACAGCACGTCCTCGGCAGAATCGAGTAATTCCGATTCCTCGCCCAGCCGACTGCAGAGAAGCTTGACACGCTGAACAAAATTTGGCTTAAAAGAGTTAAAGTTGAAAAGACAAACGTAGATGAGAAAAGACTCACCTCAACGGTGGCTTCTTGCTCCAGAACGCGCTCCTCGACAGCTTCTTTGAGCGTTTGCACTTCCGCTCGGATGGCTTGTAGCTAAAAACAAATAAAATAAACTGGCAAATTCCAGATACCATTGGTATGCCACGGCGATCTGTGTGTGAGGGCGGCGTCCAGTCATCCATTTCCAGCTTTGCGCGCAGTTTTTCTATCTCTGCCTGCCCATCGTCGATCCCTTGTTTCACGCCGACAACCATTGCTTGTTCGGATTCGATCTAAACAGAGGGATTGATTCTAGCTCTGATCGTTTCATTTTTGTAACGTTCGCGGAAGGGCAGAAAGGAGCTATTTTTCACAATCCAACCAAACACTCACAATCTCCTCAAATAGTTCGTTGGTGTGGTTGAAGGCTGTGGACGAGCGCGCCATGCGCATGTCGTCGGGCATATCCACGTCGTCCCACAGATCATTCAGCCGTTCGAATGTGCATCTTATGTTGAGCATGAGATCGTTGAACTTGTCGCTGCATGTCTGTCTGCAAAAAATGAGTTACAAGCGATCGCTTCCAAAAATTTTACTGCCTTCAATTCAACAAAACCAAATATTTCCAAATAATCTCACCTTCTTCGGCCCTTCTGCGAGTTTGATGTCAGGTCCAGGCTGAGTCCAGAATCCATGTTCAATGTGCCGCCAGCGGGTTCCAGATACTTGCCTTCGATGCGAGCCCAGTACTGAAAGCAGGTTTTGCTGGCTACTAGTAGACGGAAAAAAAGGAGAAATTCGAAGGAATAAATAGGAAGCCAAATACTGATTTCAATAAAATCAAAATGAGCGCGAATCCTGCGCAGTCAGACATGATAAGATATAAAATTATGAAAGCAGCACCAAAATGAGCAATAAATGTAATGGATAAATGGAAGGTGCTAATGCACTTGGGGGGGGGCAGTCCCGATTTTGACTACAAGACGCTCCAAATGCCGTTTTTTAAACTCGAAGCCTCTGGAAAAGCTAAACCAAGCCTAAGCCTAGGCTTAGCTTCATACAAACGAAGTCTAAGCTTAGCTTGAGCCAAGCTAAGCTTAGCTCTAAGCTTAGTCCTAAATGACCCCATTTTGACCACCTAAGGCAATTTAAAGCTCAAGTTAAGCTTAGCTTGGGCTTCAGCTTAAGCCTAAGCCTAAGCTAAGCTTAGTTAAAGCTAAGTTAAGCCTAGGCTTAAGCAGAAAACCAAGTAGCTTAAGCGGAGCGTCTCGTAACCCCTTACTACCAATTTCGGACTGCCCCCCCCCCCCTAACTGCATTAGCACCAAATGGAATAATAATAAATGGATTTACTAGAAATAGAAAGCCCATTCGACACTTCACATTCCACTTCCAATCATGTACACGTTTTGATAGTTTTCTTTGTCCAAAAGCTAATTTACCACTACTAGGGGCCTAATAGTAGTTGTTATTTCATCAAAAGCTTGGATGCACATTGAAAGAAATCGTACGGAAAAACGTGAAAACCGCATGAAACCATCTTTTAGTGCGAATACACACAAACGGCAGTCAAAAGATACTGAAAGTACGAAAGAGGGCCTATCCGGGGTGGAAGTTACGGTCTAGAAGCCGTTAGTTAGCTCAAAGCATTTAAGAAAAAGTAATGAAAACAGCTATTTTACAAGCATTGATTTTTTGTGGCTGGCAGGGTTGTTCGCGGACGGACGCGGACGGTCCGGGACGCGGACGCGTCCCCGTCCGCTCATTTACATAAATTTTTGCGGACGGACGGGGACGCGTCCCGGACGGACGGGACGGACGGCGGACGCCGGAAGTAACTGGGTCCGCGATGCAAAGGAGAAAACCGGATTCAAATCATAATGAAGCGCCTAGATTTTCATTTTTGGCGTAAAACCTTTTGCAGGGCCTGGTTTTTAGCATGTCTACTTGTACATGGTAACCTACTGTCTAATAAAATCAAATTCACCGCAAAACCTGCAAAATTATTGCGAATTTCCTGGCTTCATTTTAAGATTACCATGAATTAATTTGCATCTCGGACGCGCGGACGCTCCCCGTCCCCGTCCGCCATGCGTCCGTCCCGTCCGTCCGGGACGCGTCCGCGTCCGTCCGCAAAATTTTATGCTAATGAGACGGACGGGACGCGTCCCGTCCCGGACGCGGACGGACGCGGACCGGACGCAAAATGAACAACCCTGGTGGCTGGAGATTCTCAAAAGTCGTTGCGCAAATGGTGCCCCGCCCCCAAAGTTTGTCAGTTACGGTACCAGCTACGCTGTGCCACGGTTTAGTGTACCACCCCCATTGCAGGAACAAAAAAAAAGCTTGTTAAAACAAAAAAAGCCATGTTTAGATATTTTTGGCCGTTTTTCGAACCGGCTATTACCCTTTGATAGAGCATCGAAAAAATATCCTGGTAGTTTTAGTTACAGGCCGAAATAAGTTAAGATAAACTAGTTACGACAAAACAAGCAAAATCCGACGGCATCCTTTTTGTAGGCTTTTTGGGCTTGGCATTAGACCTAACTTAGGTTGAGGCTTAGCTTGGCTAGCTTAGGCTTCGAGACCAGCTTAAACCGGAAAGAGCTAAAAAAACAGCCCCTCCCCCAACGTGAATAGCCCCAAATCCGCTCATGGCTAAAATTTTTACATTTTTACACACTGGTGATTCTGATTAGCATGGCGGCTACTTTCTATCATTAACATCTAGAACTTGCTCTGTTTTCGGCGATTTCCATCTGGCGTTTCCGGTCTGCCGACCACGTACATATTTCATTTCCAGACGCTGCACTGTATTCTCATCACCGTACACGTCAGTCAGCTCAGGCGACCCGTTTGGTATGTTTTCCAAAATTGATTTATTGGCATTTTCCAGGATTTGAACATGATACTGGATCCGGTGAACCTTGGCGTGCTCGCCCTCGTTTTCTTGGCGGCCCTCTTCTTTTGCTACTTTGCTAGGCAGGGCAGTGATGATGGCAAATATGAAAAGGTAATTTTCTTATGCCTTGGCCTAATAGGAAATGTTTAGTTGGCCAAGGCTTCGTCGCGGATCCTGGTCGAAAAGAAGGGCGCCGGCAAGGGCAAATCGTTCAAGAGTAAGAAGGAGAACAAGAAGAATGAAAAGCGCACGCCCGAGGTGCGTGCGGCCGCCCGCCTCGTTGAAGTGGTGGATGTTGCGGTTCCGGAACTTGTCGAAATGGTATGGCTTCATATGGATTCATTTACGCAGTTACAGCCCGTGAAGAAGCCCGAGAAGCCCAACGAGATGCCGGCTGTGGTCAGCGAGCCCGTGGTCCCTCCCGTGGTCAAAGAACCGACGAAGGTGGAAGAAGTTGCGGTCAAGGTCCCACCACCGGAACGTGAGAAATTGTTTTTTTTTGTGGTGTTATATCCCTTTTCTAGTTCTGGACTGTTGGCGGGACCATTTTTAGTTTTTCTTAACAAATTTTAGCTTTTTTTTACAGTGTTTTGAGTATTTTTGATTGCAATAATTGGCAAAAATTGAGAGTTTAACGATTCCACGCATTTTTTTACCCAAGATAAAAAAATTTCGGATGTCAATTGTTTTATGAAGTCCCGGATACTCGAAACGGCGCAAAAATCTAGATGGAAAGCGCTAGTCCAAAGTTAGTTCGGCCCCGCTAACAGTCCAGAACCCGCTGTTTTTAGCCGAAACCAGAAGCAAGAAGAAAGCGAGCAAGAAAGAAAAGGGAGCAGCTGCTGTCCCTGTTGCTGAACAGACGGTTGCCGTCTCGATAAAGCCAACGGAGGAACCGGCAAATGCTCCTGACGTTTCGGTCACTCCGGCTCCGACGAAGCCTGTCGAAGATGTGAAGCCGAAGGCCCCTAAGAAGAAGATTCCGACGATGGCCGAGATGAATGAACATACACTTCTCTCGCGTCTCTCTCAGCTTGACGATCTCGAGCCTGTCTATGTCGAATTTCTCACGCGCTATTTCAACGACATCAATGACAATGTATGTTGTCTTCATTATCTCTTGTCATTGCTGTATTTTAGGCGGCCAAGTCTGCGATTTCGATCGGCGCTCTCGAGCAAAAAGGTTGCCGATGCGACGGCGAAGGCCGATCAGCAGACCAAGGAACGGAAGGCCGCTCAGAAGGACTGTGCAGAACAGAAAGTCGTCACCAGCGAACTCGTCAAGAAGATTGCTTCGCTCGAGGAAGAGGCCATCACATCCAGGCGTTTGCTGGCTGATTATAAGGTACCCTTTGCGTGCCAATATGGCCAATTTTTGTTCAGCTCAAAGATGCCGCGTACGTGGAAATTCAGACGAAATATGGCGAGTGCACCTCTGAGCTGACGGCTTTCAAACAGGTTTTCTCGTCATACATCTGACATGCGTTTGTTTTTCTTCGATAGAACGATGCCAACCAGAAGCGCCAAATCCAAAAGCTGCAACATGACCTCGAGGGAAACCAACACCAACTTGGAGCGGCCATCGTCGAGATGAAAAACCTTAGGGCGGCTGTTGTGGTTGGTGAGAAGGCGCAAAAGGACTTGGTGCAGGTTCGTTCTTGTTTCGTGACGCCATTTTTTCGTCGCCTAGGTTCGCGCCGATTTGGCCGAGAAGAACGAAAAGCTCTCGAAGCTGACCATCGAGTTCAAGGAGATTCAATTGCTTGCCCGTGACGCCGTCGCCAACCAGGAGCCTCTCCGTGCCGGATTCCCCATTTTCAACTTGGACTATGGGGTATCGATTTTGTTATTTTTGTTCAAAAAACGAGCATTTGCAGACTGGAGGAGCCTCCGAAAGCATTGCAAACGATAGCCACGCTATGTCAGAGATTGAGAAGGAAATGGCTGAGGTACTGCTTCTTGTCGGCAATATCTCTGGCTTCAGAAAGAATCTGCCTGGATGATTGAGAGGACCGACCTCCAGGACATCATCATGCGCCTCCAGCAGCAAATCTCTGAAGAGTGAGTATCTTTCAGGCTCCTCGATTTCTTTTTTAGAAAGGCCCACTGGGAGCAGGAGCAGCCGCAGAATCTGCCGGAAGACAGCGCCGAGGTGTTGGAATTGAGGAAGAAGATTGTCGCCCTGGAATACGCCAATGAGAATAGGTATAAGGGCTTGGCGTTAATTCGAAACTTTCCTTCTTTAGCGGAATTGTTCGTTTGGAGAACGATGTGCTGAAGGGCACCATCGACAACCTCAAGGTGGAGATCGAGCGCTCGAAGGAGTTGTGGGCTAAAAAGTACGACCTTCCGGAACACAAGACTTATGCCGTCCTTTACAGTGTGGCTGATGCTGAGATGCAGTTCGCATCTGCTGCCGGAGAAATCGCCGAGCTGAAGAAGATCAACGCCGATCTCGCTGGCTCTGCCCGCTCGATGTCCAACGATGAGCTTACACGGCTTCGCCATGAGAAGGAACACCTTATCGCCAAAAACGAGGTGATTTAGCAATTCGCATGGTGGCTTAACCGGAACACTGTATTTTTTTTTAATCCTATAACCATCGGCTGTTTAGGAGCTGCGCGCCCGTAATCAGACACTTGCCGGGCACCTGATGGAGCTGCAGAAATGTTCCGTGCGCGACATTCCTCCGGTGGTGTCCGTTCCGCAGGGCCCTCCCGGACTCCCATCGAAAGGCGACAACTTGCAAATGGTTTGTTTTCACATTTGAAAATACGCTTGCCTAGGCACCTGCCAGCGGACCTGCGGCCATCTCCCCGCCGCCGTTGTCTGCCGACTCGACGAGCTCGTCGGATTCCACCCCGCTGAACACTGTCGTCTCCGTGTTGTGGTCGGATCCGGGGGCTGTGAAGTCTGACAATCCCGACCCGGTGATGTTGCCGTTGCTGAAATCGGCCGCTTCGAGCCCATCATCTGCATCGGTCGGCCCCTTTTACGAAGAGCCCGAATACTTCTCCGTTCTGGTATCCCTTTTGTTGGCTTTTTACATTTCTTTTTAGTTAAACGCTCTGGCCAAGTTTGAGCAGCTCTGGGATGCACACTCGTCGAGGGTCGAAGAGACCGCCGCCGAGCTGGAGAAGCAGTTATCGGTGGGTTTTTGCGCGATGTTGATTTGCCTGGGGAACGTTCCGTTCAATTTCTCCTTACAGGAACACTGAGCGTCGACTTGAACGGCTTCCGAGTGGAGGTCTCTGTCGTCTAATAAAGCCTCGACACCCGTTCTCTATTCTTGGTTTATGCTTTCCCTCGACTGTGAATGAATTTCTGGAATGCGTGTTTTGGGATTTAAGGAATAAATACGGGTTTGACTGTTTTCACAACCGCGCCTCATTTCTACGCCTGATCTCCGCAATATGAAGCTTCGACGTTTTGAAATTACCGCCGCCAAAGCCGAATGTGAAACAGTGATGATAAAAACAATTTATTGAACTTTTCGCGCGCACATTTGAGAAGTTAGAACTGAGATAAAATGACCAGAACAACAATACCCGGAGAAAACGTGAAAGCAAAGTAAGAGACAACGGTCAATGAGTCGGAGAAATTCAAACAGATCATGCAAAACAATGAGCGGCCAAATTCACAAGACAAAGCTCGCTCACACAAAAAGCAATGGGGCACCTGGGGAGAAATCGTGTCGCAGCACCACGAAAAAAACGCGGAGAAATGGGATTTAATTATTATTCTTATTAATATTATCGTTGTTCACAGTTTGTATTTTGTTCTGTTGCTCGCTTGGCCCATCCATCACTCCATGTCGTAGTCGTCGAGCTGGCGCTCACTTCGGATATTCTGAAGGGTCCGTTGTGGATAGGCGCTCTCGATCGATTTGCCCATTTTTTCGGCCTAAAAATAATAATATAAAAAAACGTTGAAAATCAACAACGACGATTTCAAAAAGAAAGAAAAACGTACATTGTGAATGGGTCGCGCCTGAACGAGTCGACGCAATTTCCGCAACGCTTTCGTGGTGCCCATAGCCGACACTCGGACACGAGTCGCCGCTTCTCCGTTTTCTAAAAAAACCTAATGGAAAATCCAGAAACGTGCGTACTGTATGAGTGCTTCCTTCGCATCTTCACCTCTTGCAGACCACACTTTTTGCGTAGATCATCTTCAAGGTCCAGTTCGCGTACTGTCACTGCAAATAAAACCAATGAACAAAAAAAATCCAGAACTAAAGATTCGGTCGCAAATAGACATACTTGGCAATTCGATGGTGAACGAGGTGCCCTCTTGGACGAGCTCCGGCAACGGCTTATCATGCTCATCGGCACGTAGGGGAAGTTCTTCAAAACGCGACGAGAACACCATCGAATAGAACGAGATCCGGGCGCACTAAAAAATTAATTAACGTTAACACTGAGCTTTTTTTTAATGTCGAAATTCGGGTTCCGGACCGTTAGCGGGGGGTGGGAACAAATTTTCCTGGTAATTCCATACAGCCCCATAACACAATTTCACATCGATTATTATTGCGGGTTATACTTTAGATACAAATAGTTTCTAACAAAATTATAAACATTTTGGAAAATTTTTCGCTTTTGATCAAACACATGAAAATGACCAAAAAAGGTAAAAATTTTCGAATTTGCAAACATTTTTAATAACTTGCTAGCTATCAAAATCGCTAAAAGCATTACAAAAATACATTATATATTACCAACCGGTAAGGTACAAAAATTGGGTCTCCCCCTGCCAACCCCCGCTAACAGTCGAGAACCGAAATTTCAATATGGGGAATTTGTTCAGGTTGTGCTTCTCGGAAATCTGCGCATGGCAAATTTCGATATATTGAAAACTCGAAATGAAGCAGTTCAAAATTCCGATAGCAAATCGAAAAACCGGGATACCTGGTGTAGAAGATGCCATTCCTCGTCGAAAAACGCCATATCATAGCCCATATCGTCGAAGAATAGATGGGGGAGACGGCGGAATGTACACGAGCCGATATATTGCAAGAAGAGGGCAAACAGTCGACCCGGAGACCGAAGCCCAATCCGCGCCAACCGTTCGTCATCCCCAGCAAATTCCTGGTCCACCGGAATCTAGGGCAAACCATAGTCTCAATCCTGGTTCCGAATCATTACCACTTCGAGGTGTACGGTGGAATCGTGTGATGTGCCGGGCAGGTGGCTCGTCGCGTATTGCAGCATCAACAGCATCAAGTGCATCTCCTGCAAAGGACGGTTCTTTTGCATTATCGGGGGGACAAACTATTTCTTAGGACCTGATTTTTGAAATATGCATAGCGAAAGTGGTTCTAAATGGATTTTACGCTTTTTAAACGTGAAAACTATACAAAATTCTATCAAAAAACGTCAAATATCGATTTTTTAACCAAAATTTCGACTACCAAAACTTTTTTTTGACGGTATTCCTATTTGAAATACAGTTATATGGGACCCAAAAACACTATAAAAATATTATTTGAGAAATCAACTTATTTCTAGAGAACCTATACACCGCAAAATTGAAACACGAACTGACCCGAATATTCCCCTCCTCGTACACCTTGACGACGTCGGCCCATCGGCTGGCGATAAACAGCACTTGGAGTAGCCCTAAAACCGTATCCAAAACGCGGGCAAAAAACTACCAGGGCTATCCTCCTCCTCTTCGGGCATCTGGTGATGATCGCGGGTCCTCCACCGGCCCGTCCCGTCATATTTGTGTGTGTAGAGGGCGACGGCTCGACACTGCTGCACGCGGTAGCTGAACATCAGCAGCTGATCCTGGTGCTCGGCGCAGTACTGGGACATGTGGGCCGTCAGTTGCTGAAAAATCGGAATACACAATTTCGAAAAAAGTATTGCTTCGAAAGTTGAAGAAAAGTTATTTTCTTAGGATACAAATGTTTAAATATAAATATTGGCATTATTTCTGTTCGAAAAACTGTTTTTACTATTCCTAACAGTTTATAAGTTTTAATGAAAAAAACAACAGAAAATGGCGATTTTTTTTCCAGTCGTTTTTCACCTAAATTTCGACTTTGGAAGTTTTCGATAGTTTTTGTAGGTGAAATCATATTTTATATCCTACTATATATAAAAAA